TATATATATATATATACATACAACAATGTATATATATAACAATCGGAAAATGAGAATACTTCGTCCGGATTTTCGCGTTCCTCACACTCGCACTGTCCGCAAGCGCATGTGCCACGACCGGAGCAGTCTACGAGAGAGGTATTGTCCGGTCGACACAACTGGAAATGCTTATCAAAACCAGCGAGCTCTTCATGCGGACTGCACTCGCATCGCTTGCCAAAGAAACCATCGTAACACTCGCACACGCCGCATTTGAGAGTACCGACGCCGTTGCACTCGGGCGATTTCTCTTCATACATAGAACCTTCGCGCTCGCACTCGCAGTCGCAAAGCATTTCGAGATTTACTGTGAGAGTTTCGTTGATGCCGACCTGGAAAAAAAATGCAAGAACATCACAACTTCTGTATATATATATATACGAGATCCAGAAAGTATAAAAACAATAAAATTTTTGAAGATATAAGAAGAAAAAAGTAATTTTGAACGTGGAAACCTAGAGTTTAACAAGCGATTACCGGATAAATATCGAATTTCTGCTTCCACTCCGACTTATTGGCAGGACAGCTGGTGACCTCGATTTCTGCGATAAACTCCACCTTTGTTCCGACTTTCAATCCGTCGCACTTCGATGTTTCGACCGCCGGTCCTGTACCCAGACAGCTCGAAAAGTACTTAACTTTGATTGCGCTGCTGGCGGTATCCTTCATCTCTACAGAGCTCGAGATCGCGTCATATTGCTCGCGTATCAGCTCCACAACATTACTTGAATCATCCGACAGCTTGCCAGCAAACGAACCTTCTACGTGTTTTGTCAGTCGCTTATAAACGTTGATTTGTTCCTCGGTGACTGCCCAAATTATATTGATTGCGTTTTGCTTCACTTTGAGATTGATTTGCGAGATACTGGGATAATCCTGCAGCGATGAGTGAGTGTACAGGCCAGTGGTGTCAAGATGACACAGGCCGTCGTTCGGCTTGATGATGCCGCCAAGCTTGCCGTCGCCGGCGTAGTGAAAACCAGCATCTGTCGAGAATACGAGCAGCCGGCGTGCCTTTTCGCGCCATCCTATCTGATTTCGGCAGACTATCGCCTGCATAATCGCGTCAAAACCGCCTTCCGGGGCATCTAAGTTGCCAGATACCGACGCGTTTTTCACCAATCCCTGTGGGAAAGAACATTCGTTCTTAAAAACAAATCGCTTGAGATAACGAATTAAGACTTTTAACTCGCGATCTATAAAATTAATTCAGTTTGCTTTTTTATGTTTTGAATTAGTTTTTTTTTCAACAAATACACATATTTTTATACCGCAAATTTGCTCGTGTCTTGAGAGAGCCGCATAATGTTCTTGTATCCGTAAGGAGCTGCGCAACCGTCGCATGGTTCGCGAAGACTGAAATCAGAAGCAAGTTGAACGCGTTGACTCAATTGGCAATGACGAAATTTATAAAATTCCTTGGCTTTTGTCTCGAAAACTCACGATTTTGGCACTGTATTGACGTATGGCATGACGACCTTATCAACGAAACTACCAAAACCCAAACGGAAATTACTGGTTATCTTGCTCATACTCTCGACCAGCAATTGGCCCAAATCCGACAACTTCTGCTTGTCATCCTCCATGGACTTACTTAGATCCATAAGATAATAAAGGTCGACAGGATAATCCTCGGCTTGAGAATAAGCAAAGGACATTCTGTAAGCTTCGTCTGGAAAACAAACAACAAATTTTATACATCAATCAATAAAATATGTGATTTTAGTTTTTTTTTGTTTTACACGTCAGTGATTTACTTATTCTAAGCTTTAAATTGACTTCCTGCGGCCACATCTGCACAGCTTCCTGCCTTCTACCACCACTGCTGCTTAAACTGTGTGAATATGAGGAAGATGAACTGGAAGATGAAAAGTTGGAGTACGAAGTCTCTATGTATCCTCCTCCTCCTCCTCCTCCACCAGCAGCGTAACCACCTTTCGTCAAATTGCGATGTTGTACCATGCTGTATACATTGTCTGGATTCCATGTGTATTCAGAAGGACATGTTGCGAATATTTTGGTGTTGATATTCGGAAGGAAGCATCTTTTCTCTGAGAATTTCTGCAAGATCGAAATTGGTTTAGAGAATTTATTAAGTAAAAATCAAGTATAAAACCAGAAGTTTTTCTGAGCACTGACTGAATGACTATGAGTGACCCAATGCAACTTTAAAATCAAATATCTCCATGAAAAGTCAATATTTTGTCAATTTTGTTTTTTGTTTTTTTTTTTACTCAAAAGTTTGAACAATTCTGCATCCATGAAAAAAGAAGCAAATTGAAAAATCGAGTAATTACAAAGATATAAGCGTTTGAAAAAAAACTAGATTTTTATTAAAAATGTTGATGTGCAGTTTTTGAGTGAACCTCAGGGAAACCTGTGCCTGTTTGTGAAAAGTCAAATTACATCTTACTGACCAAATCGTACTTACTGGTGCTGCACACCAAGCGCAATGGGGGGTCTGTATACACTCGTGGCATGTTTGTTTACTTATACAAGGATTCATGCCTGTTAATCTCTCTGGTGGAGGATAATATTCCTGAGCAAGGGAAGCCAATATGCTTGCCACAAACACTCCTAATACAACGAGCCATTTTGAGCTGCCAAACATCCTGAAAAAGTGCGCTTAATTAAATTCTTTGTATTTAGAAAAACAAAATCGGAGAAATATTGTTTCCGTGAAAGAGTAAAACTTCGAGATTTTAAATGTTTTAAATTGAAAATTTCACAAGTAAAACTGACGAGACCGTCAAGGCGAATCTAATATTAATGAAAGCGAGAATAGAATGTAGGTGAAAAAAATTTGACAGCAAACAATGTGGCGCGTCTCGAATTACATACGGTTTCGACGTCATTTTGCAAAAACAAAAAAAGACCAGAAGAATAATTCAGACACACGAAATCCGGAATTGCAGCTTGCAGCCGTGCGAGTGTTTCGCATCTCCGCTTATTCACACGCGACGATGCCGTCATCATTATATTTGCCGAGCTGCATCACACACTCGTTCCGCGTATACTATATCACGCGGATTAAATTGAACATTGAGCGATGAGTGTGCGGGCGCGATTGACAAACTGCACGGTCACAGGACGGTCACAGCGATACGCTTACATCGTTACGCGCGAGACGATGCGTTTTTCCTTCCGCCGATCTATCTTTTCGATGATTAATTTTACAGCATCACAAATATTGTTTAGTTGACGCTTCTCTCGTCGCTCGAGATCACCATAAATGGCAATCCATCAAAATGAACACACCAACGCACATGGAACATCCCATTCGTTTCTCTTCGGATTTAGGGCGTGTCCACACGTACGTGCGCTTAGAGTGGTAAAAAGCTCTATTCTAAAATAGTTGCAAAAGATGGCAACTACCAGAGAGAAACCTAAGGGCGATGTCCCATTGAGCGGAAATCTATAGCGGAACGGAATGTGCGGAACCAGCTCGACCAATCGTAACCATAGAAAAAGCGAAGGAAAGAAAACGGAATGGCTATGATTGGTCGAGCTGGTTCCGCACATTCCGTTCCGCTATATATTTCCGCTCAATGGGACATCGCCCTAACTCGTAGAGGAACCGCGCGTGGAACGCGCTTCTGATTTGCTCAAATACCAGGCCAAACAAAAATGGCGCTTATCAATTTGTGCCACGTCTCGCTATGCTTGTTAGATGGAGATGCGCATTCTAGTGTATATAGAGTTCAGTGTGTTGAACAGTAGCCTCATGTTTGTCTAGCGAAGTAGTGGGAGAAAAAGAAGTCTTCGCTGATTGATAGAATAGTAGTGGAAAAGTGGAGATAGAAAAATAATGGGGGTGAAGAAGAGTAAAAGAGATTAAGAGGTGAAGGTGTGACCGGAACTCCCCAAAATCACGTCTCTAGTCGACAATTTTAATTTTAAATTCTTTTTTCACAGTCGCCAGTCAATTTTCTCTACACTACCGACAAGAATGTTTGTACTCTACGCCGTATTTTATTTGTATACTCACGTAGAGATTTTTTGTTAGATTTACGGACTCGATGCTGAATCTTCATATCCTGGTTGTCACTATCGCTATTTCGATACTGATTTTGTCTCCTGGATTTTATCTTTCGAGACCTTTTCTTTCCCTTCTCGATTGATTTCGAAAGTTTAGAAATTTATTGCTTACCTTCTCCTCATTGGTCGCCTTCTTTTACTTTGATACTGCGATCAATGGAATACCCACACACTGCTTGGCAGCTGCTCAGGGGTTGTCGCCAATCCGGAAATGTATTTCTGGATGCTTTGTCGAGTACAGAAGCACCGCCAATCACCTAAGATGCGACCTAGTCACCCTAGACACCTCACCAATCAGCTTCCGATGTCGAGCCGTACGCAATTTCCGCTGGTGCTTTCTTTCAGAGTTTGGATTTAATGTTTCGTTAATTAATTCACACGGATTATTAACTTATCAACACTGGTTTATTACACAAACTTATTTTTAGTGTTACACTTATTTCGGCAATACTTTTATTTTACACCTTAATTATTTAACAAACATTATCTGGTTGTCACTCGGCGCATACGCTTTTGTTAATTCCGAGTAATTATCGCCGCGATCGATTTTTATTGCGATATCGCGTGTTTTTTCAGACTTTATCGCTTGACTGTTCGTTTTCTGACGACCTCTTTTGGTCTAACCCGCGCTCTTATATAGCAGCTTTCTCTCTCCTTTATGGCAAGCTTTCGATCCTTCTAGAATCCTCGTGATTATTTTTTTATTGCTTCATTTTTAACAAGATTTCTTTTCGGCTTTCTTATCCTAGCGCTTTTTTTATTATGTTTGCGCCTGTGTTATCCCTTATTTTTTTTTTTTTTAAATTAGATCACCGAGGTTTCCAGAAGATTCTACCTCGCTCTTTCTATACCATTCCAGATGCTTTTGTTTCTCCGTTTTGCGGATCTGTGAATTCACACTCTTCTTTTTAAAATTAAGCTGTAACATATAGTTTTTTTCTGATTATCTTTCTCTCCTGGAACCGTGTACTCGCTCAGCTTTTATTTAGTGCGGTTTTTTCTGGGCAGAAGTTTCTGCACAGGATTTTTTTTTTAATTTTTCTTTCTCTTATTTTTTTTTTATGCATTCGCTTTCATTGTAACAAAATGAACAAATAATAAACTTATGTTATTATCCTTATTTTATTCTGGATTTGATCCTAATACTAACTAATAATAATAATAATAAAAAGTAAAACAAAAAGAAAAATAAACCAAATCATAATAATTAACCTCTCCTAATATTTTCATCATAATACTTATTTTGCCTATGTCGCATTATCCCTAAATAATATTTCTAATTCATTTTGTACCTAAATTATTTACATTCTTATACATATTTGTTTCGTATCCTTATTTTTATTTTTCTGGGCTATTCAAATCTCCCGGTCCGCTCAGAAAAGATCTGCTTGGTCGATGGTGCTGCCCTCTGAGGACTCATCCTCGGCCTGGCTTCGTGCGCTCTTTCGTACCATCGTCCAGTGTTGTTGCGAAGTCGCGTTTTCGCGTATGCGCTCTGTACAGCCAATTAGGTTCCCATAAAAGCTGTGTTTTCGCGCATGCGCCTTTAAATGTAGCATTACTGCCGTACTAACTCCGACATTATTAAGGTTCTGTAAAGACCTAAATAATTTTTCATGATTAACACGTGGAGT